ACAGCCCCCAACTCAGATTTGAAAAAAAATCAGTGGATGGTTGTTTTCTGACTGGTCGGCGGACCGCCGACCGGTCGGCCCCGATTGGTCGGGGCAAAACGGTCGGGGTCGGCGGTCGGCGTCGGTGCAGCCCTGATTTTTCCTGAAAAGATCATGACCTAATCTACAGGATATCAAATTTTCATATTTTTTTGCCAATGCTTCTGAGCGCGAAAAATTGCCAAAGTTCGCACTTGGAAATTTTTAGACCGGACCTGCCTGCGCCTGCTGGTCGCCGCCCCCCCTAAGAACCCGGTCCGTAAGGCCAGGAAAGTCCATTTTAGGCCGGCGGGGGTAGTGGTGGTTTAAGACTTAAAGTCCAAGTAGGAACACCAGAGCCTAGGACTTCGACAAGAAAGAGCAGTTCCAGCACCTATTGCGAATCCAACAGCCAAGTAGCTGAGAGGAACGAGCTAGACAAGGCGTGCTCAGATACACTGCAAACAGCTTACAGAGATAGTGGAAATAGGACTTGTAACCATGGATAGAAGCTAAGTCAGAATTAAGTCACAGGGGCTAACTTAGGCAGGGGTGAGGGGTGGTACATCCTTCCTTCGGGAAGTAATTAATGCCGTCCACTCGGGCCTCTCAACCATAATGGGGAGGAGTGTGTGTGAGTATATTGTACTCTTAACTGACTTGCCAGTGGAATAGGAACCGCAATTGCAATAAATCTCATCTTCCCAGTGGGGCTGTTTGGCTTTGTAGTTTGTTCTCTTGTTTTGATCCTTGCGGGATTTGATCCCGTGACCTGTAACTCGTGTGTTTTGTTTGTAAGTGCTGCGCCCTATAGGACTTGATCCGTGAGTCTGTCACTAGTAGTCTCTGTTTGGTAGACTTAGGCCATTCGGCCTTTTCCTTTTCCCTTGTCATAGGTCTAGGTCCCCTTTTCCCTCTGTTTCAATCTAGATACAGATGAGTCTTGGGTTGTTGCCTTTGGAGTCCCTCGTCGGTCTAGGCAGAGGGTAGAAGTAGCGGGCAGGAAATGTGGGTGGGGTCTTTTCATGTTTTCGTTGGCTGGGGAAACTCTGCCCCTCCGTTGTTGGAGCGCTGCTGCTCTATTTTGGGCGAGGTCATCTTCTTCCTCGAAGCCCAGACATAGCTGGGGGTTGGGAAACGAAGTTGAAGATCGCACTGCTGCTATTTCGCAGCTCTGCATGAGAGCTTCCACAGGACTATGCTGTTGGGTTTGGGCGCTGCCATTTTCCGCTTGGCAGCCATATCTGCTGTTCCTCCTCACGAGGAACTTCATCTTCTTCGAAGTGCTGGATTGGTTGTCTCCTTCTTCATCAGGACTTCCAGCGCTGAGGTGGCGCTGCTATCATTGGGGTTGCTGGTTCAGATTGGCATGTTGTGACAGCTGTGGGGTTACCGCTGCTACGGCAGCCATAGCCAGGGGTATGAGGTGGCAAGGAGGAAGAAGACGACTCCTGCATACTTCGTTGATTACTTGTTTTTGGTTGTTCGGGGTTGTTGTAAACGCGGTTGTGATTCTTGGAACAAGTACTCTCGATTGATTGGAGGAGGATGAGGGATTGCAGAATTGAAATTCGTTTTTCAATTCTGTGTATTTTGAGCTTCCGCTGTGCATATCTTCTCTCCAGTTTTGTGTGGATTTGCCTCCTTCGAGTCTACTCTGCAATTGCATGCATGTATGGGAACCTGTGAACTGGTTGTGGATTGAGGTTCAATCAGGTACATAACACAATGATGCTCCCCAGAACGGAAAGGAGCCAGAACCGCAAGGTTCTGTTTGGTTAAAAAAAAAAAGAAAAAAAAAAAAGCATAATAGAATGGAAAAGAAAGGCAACTGCTCATGTTAAAAATTATACGCTTCCTTCATATCAAAGAATGGAACGACTTCTTGAGGTCTTGTCCAACTTTCTTGCATAAACTCGCGGTAAATTTTGTGTTGTCGGTTCAGAAGTTCAGAATCCAAGTAACGTTTCTTGAGTTCAAAAGAAAGGTTGCACTAAGCCACTTATCCTGGATTTTTCCTTGATCTAGGTGATTGGCAAACTGGTACAACGAAGGAGGCAAGTCAAGGAGATGATGAAGACAGAGCGGAACTTAGTCAGAAAGCAGCAGCTGGACATTCGTCAGCAGGCTCTAAAGCTAACAGCAAACAGGTCAGCCCGCACAACAGCTCAGCATATGTTGTGAGGGGATCATCTGTCTTCCATTTTTATATCTTTCTCTTCTGATTTAAGGGTGAGGCCTCTTGCATGACTACTTTTTTTAACACTGGAATGTGGATTTACTGTTCTAGTCATGCAGCACTCAGGTAGCAGCGAGGTATGCTTGTGTTGGGCTCAGGGGTATTTGAACCCGGGACGTGGCCCAAGTGTGAAACAAAAGCAAGTGTTTATTTTTGTTTTTCAAGTTAGCTGCCAGTCAGATTCGAACCTGGGACCTCCAAGTAAGCATACTGTTAGCTGATCTTGGACACATAGGGCCGTATAGGGCCTAGACCTATAAATTTATTTGGCCAGAGCCGGGTAGGACCTTGTAGGCCCAGGCAAAATTGGCATAACAAAAAGTGACGAGCTTGGACTACAGTTCATTCATGTTTCAGTTTGTGACTTTGGTGGAGTTAAGAGAAGGAGCAGCAGCACCAATCTTGGCAGCTGAAGGAGAGGGTTTGCGTGCAGCCATAGCCAGTGAGAATCTGACTGGCAGCAAACTTGAAAAACAAAAATAAACACTTGTTTTTGTTTCACACTTGGGCCACGTCCCGGGCTCAAATACCCCTGAGCCCAACACAAGCATACCTCGCCTCTACCTGACTGCTGCATGACTAGAACGTGGGACCTCCAAGTAAGCATGCTGTTAGCTGATCTTGGACACATAGGACTGTATAGGGCCTAGACCTATAAATTTATTTGGCCAGAGCCCGGTAGGACCTTGTAGGCCCAGGCAAAATTGGCATAACAAAAAGTGACGAGCTAGGACTACAGTTCATTCATGTTTCAGTTGTGACTTTGGTGGAGTTAAGAGAAGGAGCAGCAGCACCAATCTTGGCAGCTGAAGGATGCGTGCAGCCATAGCCAGTGAGTTTTGGCTCTATACTGCACGGTTTTGAGTGCCGTTTGTTGCAGACTGCTCAGTGCAGCCTGGCTCGCAAGTGGACATCACCTTTTTTAATTTTCATCAAATGTGCCTGTTGAACAATATGAGGTTGTTGTAAATCTTTTCTCCAATTGCCATCTTCAAGATTGGTCTTAACCTCAGTTTGTTTGAGTGATGCATAGGAAAGAAGTTGAAGTTTGCCAAATTCCCAACAGCTTGACAGTACTATATGGTTTACTAAATTACTATCTATTGTTAACAGGCCTTTTTCGGAGCTCATTCATCCATACTATTTTAGTATTTTCCTTCTTTTTTTTTTTTTTTTTTTTTTTTCCCCAAAACAGAACCTTATGGTTCCGTCTCCTTTTCCATTCTGGGGAGCATCAGTCCGATTCCTATTCCCCTGGCAAGTCAGAAAGGATTACAATAGGTACTCACTCACGCTCCTCCCCCTCATGGTGTGGAGGCCCGAAGGACGACATTGATTACTTCCTGAAGGAAGGATGTACCATCCTACATCCCTGCCTAAGTTGGCCGGTTCTACGAGGATTCTGTTCTTATCATGTGTTTGGTGCTAAACTCGAACCCTCGCTTTGTTATGATCCTGGCCAATTTCGAAGTACACAAGTACAATGCCATCCAATTGCAAAAAGAAATGAATGAACTTGAGAGGAGAGAGAGGGTAAGAAGAAGAAGAAGAAGAAGAAAGAATGAAGAAGAAGATGATGTACAGTGTACACCAGGATAGACAAATGATAATGCTCTTCTTCTTCGCCAACCACTCTCCTTCTCCTCATCTCCACCTCTCTTATTCACACAAGAAATAATAATAACAATGTTGAATGGCTGAACCAGAATCAATGTCTGAATCCCTCTTCTACTACAGGTATCACATGAGGTCCACCATAGCTATGGCCACCATTCCTCCTCCTTCGTCCCAGGCCGAGGCTATGGCGGACTACTAGGGCCTTGCCCTGATGTCCAAAGGACAACACAAAGCAGCTATGGCTGCTCTAGCGCAGGCCGCCATGCCTGACTCTGCCTCGAAGCTTCTTGGTGTAGCTCTACCCCAACTGGGGCCTTCTTGCTGCAGCGTCCACCAAGGTGATAAAGATGGCAACCACCATAGCCAGGTAAGTACCTCTGGCGCTCCTCCCTCCTAGTCCTGGTCTTTTTCCTCCTCCTGCCCTTGCTCCTCCCCAGCAGCGCTGCTCCTTGCTAGCGCTGCCCCAGCCAGGGCTCCAACCAGTGTGTTGCCAAACTTGCACACCGACAATGAGGCTGAGCTCTTGGCTCAACCCGAAGATATAGCGGCCTACTTACCTCTTGGGCGGTGACTTCCAGGCCGCTGGGCCTTCGGAGCAACCGGTACCTCCTCCCTTTCGGAGGGAAACATCATTGCAGACTCTGATATTGCCCGTACAGGCCCTAGACTGGTTGGACTGGTACCCGCCTAGACTCGCCTATAACTACTGGGCCTCTAAAAATGCCAACTTTTGTCTTCTTCTGCTCGGCCTTGAGTACCCAGCACATCTACCTCTAAATGGTGTGGTACCGGCCTACCTGCTACTTGAGTGTTTCCCGCTGCTTCAAGTGTCGCGGGCCTCTTTCCCCGCCACTTGAGTGTTTTCCCCCGCTGCAATCCTCAGTGTCACGGCCACAGGTAAATACTGGCCCTTCGGGCCCGTTGAACGAATAAGTGCCCTTGCGGGTCACATACATACTCAAGCCGACAAGCACTCAGACAGACATGCAGACCAGCAAGTGTGCAGACACACAGACTTAGAGAACTCAGTAACAAGCGGGAAACTCAGCAAGGCATTCAGTCCATGAGCAAAACTCAGAAATCAGCTGTGTCTCAGTCCGTGTTTGGTCAGGTCATTACAACTTAATTTTCTCTGTCTGTAGCTTGTCCCTTGCGAAAGTTTCTATACCTAAGCAGTTGCGTGCACCTATTGTGGTTGTCGGGGCTCGTCTGAGATCTATGTAACGCTTGCAAATGGGGAGGGGTTTTGATTGGGTTCCGGTGAAGACTTTCTTAGAAGGGTGGGTGTTGAGGCTTAGGGGGTGGCTGAGCTGGGGTGTTTTGGATGGGCATGATGTGTCGGCTAGTGTAGGGAAGGGGGGGGTAGTTGGGGAGTGTGGTGGTATGAAGACCGGTGAGTGGCTGGTTTGGGGGTGATTGTGTGTGGATTCGGGGTGATGTAGAGGCGCTTTATATCTGTGTTATGCTAATCCATTTTTCAAGGGTTAGTCTGTTGTTGTTAATTGTGCCAATTAGACCATTGCCTAGTTTAGAGGTTAAGAACATTTTGATTATTTCGTTTTTTTTGTTGGGGTCAGTGGGGAGTTGTTTGAGTTGTTTCTTCCAGATAGCGTGGATTTCTGTGTCTATTAGTTGTTTGATGGGGAGTGTGGTCGTATGAAGACTGGTGAGTGGCTGGTTTGGGGTGATTGTGTGTGGATTTGGGGTGATGTAGAGGCGCTTTATATCTGTGTTATGATAATCCATTTTTTAAGGGTTAGTCTGTTGTTGTTAATTGTGCCAATTAGACCATTGCCTAGTTTAGAGGTTAAGAACATTTTGATTATTTCAGTTTTTTTGTTGGGGTCAGTGGGGAGTTGTTTGAGTTGTTTCTTCCAGATAGCGTGGATTTCTGTGTCTATTAGTTGTTTGATGGTGAAGAGTGGGTTTTCTGGGGTGGTGAGACGGTCATCAAAGGTGTTGTCGCATCTGTTTTTCCATATAGCCCAGAGGGTGCTTCTTTGAGCGGGGGTGATTGTTTAAGAGTGTCGTTGGATTGGTTAGAAGGGGAGAATCTGAGATTTTGTACCAATATGATTCTAGAGCTTGCCAGAGGGATCAGACCTTTGGGCAATCTATGAAACAATATGATTCTAGAGCTTGCCAGAAGGGGAGAATCTGAGATTTTGTACCAATATGATTCTAGAGCTTGCCAGAGGGATCAGACCTTCGGGCAATCTATGAAACAATGGTTTAGGGATTCTGGAGTATTGAGGTTACATTCCTTGCATCAATAGTCTTGTTCCATTCTGTTTTTTGTGGTTGCATCTGATAGCCAACCATTGCTTTATTGGACCTGCTCTAAAGGCAATTAGGCATCTCAGGTTGGTTAGCTTGACCGGTCTATGGTGCAGGGAAGTTTAAAGTGGGGTGTTGGTTAGTTGTGGTTCCTCCTTTGACCATCTATTGTGTAGCATGCTGGATATTGATATGGGTTTGGTGAAGAGTCGATATCCTAGTTTGGGTGTGTAGTCAGTTAACTTACGTAGGCTTGAGATGAGGAAGGAGCCGGGAGAGGAGTTCCATGTCCATTCCGTTGGGTCGATCTCTAGGTTACCGACGGTAATGTGGGGTTTATAGACTCTTTTTCTTTCTCCTTCTATGATTTTGATTCTCCTCAGGTTGTTGATTTTGAGTGCTCCTTCTGCTTTGCTTTTTTCTTGTTGATGTAACTGAATGGGTTTCCTGATTTCTCAAAAGTGTATGTGTTGCAGCATATCCTGTGCTTGTTGTGGGGTTCGCCGTTCTTGAAGGAAAGGACTTCTTGGATTGATGGGGACTCGGTGGTGGCAGCCCAGTCTCCGTATTGCCATTTTTTAGGTTCTGATTTTGAGAGTGGGAGGCTTTCTCCTTTATCGTTCAGCGGGTTGCCAAAGAGGGGTTGTTTGAGGACTTCGTCTTTTCTCTTTGGACCTGTTCTGTTATCTGGGATTCTCCAGGTGTGTAGAATTTGGTCCCAGAGGGATTTAATCTGGGGGTTTCATTTGTGTTTTCCCAGAGTGTTTGGTCAGATTGTTTCTGTTTCCCTTTTGGAAGTGGCCAGAATTTGTTGAAAATCCAGAAGACGCCTGTCATGTCTGTCAGAGAAGTGAATGGTGCAAGTTCGCGGTGTCCAGTGCAGATTGTCCTGAAGGGCTAATCTTATGACCCATTTGATTTGTAAAGCCTGGATTTGACGGGTTGGGTCTATAAGACCTAAGGCCCCTCTGTTTTTTGGGTTGGTGACTATCTGCCAGGCCACCTTTTGGATAAAGT